ATGGGGGCGTCGCGATAGGAGTGTATATAATGATGTGAGTTTGAATATTTTGGTGTGGTCTCTGGGATTAGAACTTCCTGTTGAAGTCTCTCACCAGGATCCACCGCACTTTGCAAACTGCTTTTCTATTTTCTGCAGAATAAACTCTTTTTCTTACCAATCCAATTTTGTTGGTATTTTAATCACGTTTCCAACACCCCCAAGGGAGACCCCCCACTCCTCCCTCCATCCCGCACCAGCTGCCGCCCTCCCAGGCTGTCTCCCGAGCATCCTATTCCCGAATTCTGCGGAAGAAGAGCAGGATCAAGGCCAACCAGCCCCCCCCCGCTATCTATTATTTATTCTCTGAAATATTAATGCCCTTTGCCAAGTGGCACCCAGGTTGCTATAGCATCCAACGGCAGAAGACCTTTAATTGCCATTTGGTCTTTAATCCCCCCCCCATCAGATATTCACTTACATTGGGAGCACAAGAGCTGGGGGGTGGGGGGGATACCCTTGGCCTCCTCCGCTCCTCCCTAAGATCAGGGGGCCCCCTTGCTTCTCGGGGGGGGGGAAGGCAAATATGGAGGGAACTGGTAAGGAAACCCCGAGGTTTCACCTTGTCTTGACCCTAAGGCTGGGACTACAATGCCCAGAATGCCCGGCAGGGTGGCTTCTTGCTTTTTTTGGGGGGGAGGGGAGAAAATATATAATAATAATAAAGTTGGAAGGGACCTTGGAGGTCATCTAGTCCAACCCCCTGCTCAGGCAGGAAACCCTAGAGACCATTTCGGACACATGGCTGTCCAGTCTCTTCTTAAAAACTTCCAGTGTTGGAGCATTCACAGCTTCTGGAGGCAGGTGGTTCCACTGGTTAATTGTCCTCACTGTCAGGAAATATATGCTTGCTTTGGACTTCGTATCTGGCAAATCCCCCCTTTGTTTAACCCTGCAGACTCCGCACCGGCCGGCTGGGGTCCCCGTCCCAGCAAGTCCCCGGCGGGGTCCTCCTCCTCCTCCTCCTCCTCTTTCTCCCTCGACAGGTTGCAGCGGGGGGGGGCTCTCTGCGCTGCCTCTTCCCTGCTCGGCCTCTCGGCTGCGCTCGGGCGCCGGCCGGCCTCGGAGTGGCGGGGACGGCGCGGGACCCCCGCCGCCTCGCCGCTCCCGCCACGGAGGCCCGCCAGGGACGGCCGCGCTCCGCCCTTCCAGGCGAGCGGCGGCTCAGGTGGGCAGCGCAGCGGCAGGGCGGGGACCCGGGTCGTGCGAAGGCGGACACGGCCTCCTTCGGGGGACGCCCGGCCCAGCGAGGGGCTCGTCCCGCCCGGCCGCCGCCGGCGGAAAAGAAGCGGCTCTCGCGGCTCCCCCAGGCGCTCCGGCGGCCCCTCCAGGCGGGCGCCGAGCAGCTCTGGCCCAGCAGCTCCCGTCGGGCCGGCCCCGCGGAGCCCTTCCGGGCCCGGCCGTGGAGACGAGCCCCGCCCTCCGCCCGGGCGGCGTCTCCGCGGGACCGGCACCCGAAGCCCCGCGGCCTTGCTTGCAGCCCCGCGTCTTTCTCGTCGCCTCCCTCGCCCGGCCCCGGCAGGGCAGCGTTTCCCCGGGAGGAGCCGGCGGGGCTGTGGCCGCTTTGGGGGACCCCGTTCTCCCTCGGTGGCTCCGAGTCAGAGGGCGGGGGCGAAAGGTTTGGGTGCCCTCGGGGTACCCCTTCCACCGCCCTTCCCAGGCAGTTCCAGACCGACGAAGAAGGGGAGGGGAAGAGATGGGGGCCGCCGGTGATTTATTCTGGAGCGGCCCCGTCTGCGGGGGGGTGTCTTGGGCTGGAGGGGCCGCCACCCAAGAGGATCAGCAGGGCCGGACCAGCCCTTCCAGCCCGAGACACGCACACATCCCGACGTGGTTTCCCCACGTTTCTCTGGGCGGCGGGGGGTGTGTGTGTTAACCGGCTTCTGAGTGAGATGAAGAAGGCAAAACTTCCACGGATGCTTTGACTGGAAGAAACTTCCTATCAGCGAGCACAAGGATCCAGTGGAACCGACGTTGCCTCCGGAAGGAGCTTTTTAAGAAGAGACTGGACAGCCACTTGTCTGAAATGGTCTAGGCTTCTCCTGCTTGAGGGGGGGGGGGCTGGGCTAGAAGACCTCCAAGGTCCCTTTCAGCTCTATTCTGATTCTGAAGTGTCTGGGATAAAAGTTTGGAGAATAAGGCAGTCCTAATGTTGCCTGGGGTGGGGCTGGAAGGCAGACCTTCTCCCCCCTCCGCCCTCGCCCCTGCCCTCCCCCCCGTTTCTCAGGAAAGCAGGCCAGGCAGCTCCATGAACAGGTGCAGTGCCCCCCCCCGCCTGAGTGGGCTCTCCTGCCCGGCTTTGATGCCAGGGCCTGGCGCTGAGGGAGGAGGGGCTGGCTCTACCCCCCCCAGGCTGGCTGAAACCACACAGCCAGTCTGGCGGCGCAGGGTGGGCACCAGGGAGAGCCAGCAGGCCAGCTGTTTGGTATTAGACTTTCTGATGGAGCGACAGCTGTTCCCCGTCCTCCAGTAATAGCCCGGCCAGTCTGGAGCATAACAATCATGACGGATAATTTGGTCTGTGCCCAATTTGGCTAGTCAAGCTGTGGCTTAATAGCCGTTCTGACCCCCACGGCTGGCACTGGGCAGCCTCAGGCTTTTGCTGCGGAGGGCAGGATGCTCCGCTTTGCAACTTGCACCACCACCACCCCCAAGCCCACCGGGAACCCAGAGACCCTAGTTGGAAGGGGAGGGGCTCCCCTTGGTCAGGTGAGGTTGCCGCCCATCCCCTCCTCGTGAGCAGGGGAGGGTGCCCGCTTGCGCCAGGCATGGGCAGGTGGGAGTGAGCAGAGGACGACCAGCCCAGTGACACCACTGCGGACCCCTTGAGAGGCCTCGGGGGTCTCTGCTCAGACCTCGGTGGATCAGGAGACGGTGCCCCCTTGACTCACCCCCATTTCAAGGGAAATGGGGCTCGCAAACCACAGTCGGTGAGGAAAGAGCCAGGCCGGGTCAAGCCCCTCGGGACCTACGCCACCGGCTTCCTACCCTCCATGGTTATGCCCCGAAAGGTCTGGGAAGCTTGGCACGGAAGGGCGTGCAGGGCCTCCTCCAGCCAAAACTGACCTGAAGGCTCCCTGGAGGTTTGGCCTTTAGGAAGCCGGTGCAGGGAACAGGGGGCACCCCGAGAGCCCGGTTTTAGGGGGCCTGAGTTGCTGAAGTTAGGATTTGGCGTATGGCTTTATTTTCGTTGCTGCTGTGGATGTTTTAATTTAAATGCCTTCTTTTTTTGTTGCTCTGAACGACTGTAACTCGCCCGGAGTCTGCCTGGGCCCTGGTGGGCATAAATTTCATGCATATAAAGAAAGAGATGAAGGAGGAAGTCAGCCTGTTTGTCCCAGCAGCCCCCAGGAGAGGATTTATTGAGGAAGGGGCTGCAGGAAAGAGAATGCAGACAGCTCTTCTTGCCAGAGGGGGGGGAGAAGGTAAGGGAGGGGGTCTTCCCGCCCCTGGTCCAGCCCCTCTCAGCAAGCGGGGGGGGGAGGGGAGGCCATTGTTAAGGGCACAAGGGAGCCCCCCTGCTCCCCCACCTCTCAGCTCGCCACTTATTGCAATTTTAAAGCCGGCCATAAATCTGAAGTGTAATAATAGGGAAAATCGATACTGGACAGGCTGAATCTTGCAGACCGCCCGGCCCAGGGGCTCCCCAGGGCCCCTTCCCTAAGCCAGACAAATGAGTGCCAGGGGAGCCGCTCCAGGTGCCCAACCTGCAGGGCGGGGGAGGGGAGGGGAGGGGAGGGGGAGAAGCTTGCTCATCCCAGCCTCCTTTCCATCCTTTCCCTTGCAGAAAGCCCCCAGCCCTCCTTGCCTGGGCAACAGAAGGGCCTTGTGTGGCTGTGGAGGACCAAGGGGGGGGGGTCTTCCAGAATCCTCCCCCTCCCAGGAATGCACTCACTGGTTGGGGGAGGCTGGGAACAGTTAGGGTTCCCCAATCCTTGCCTGGTCACTGCAGCCCAACACCTTGGGGGGGGGGGGTCACACAAAGGGCTTTTCCCTGAGTGAGGGTCTCTCAGGGCAGCAAGGCCAGAGCCAACCTAGGGGGCAGCCCCTGGTGCCCTCGGGGACAGGGAGGGCCAGGACCCACATACGACAGAGGTGAGATGGAAAGAGCCCGTCTGGCCGCCACTGAAGCTGCTCAGGGTCCTGACCTTCTGAGCCTTCCCTGGCTCCTGGGGGCCCCTCTGGGGGGGGAGGCTGGCATTTTCTGCCTCAAGGGGACCTTGTGGTCAGGACTGGACGCCAGCCTCCCAGTGCTGGCCCCAGGAAGCCCAGGGTCGACCCTCCCGGGGGCTCTTAGGAGATTTGGCCAGTGGGGCCCTGGCCCGCTGAGTAAGTGGCCCTGCTCGGCTGGCCAGGGCTCTGGTTCCCCCCCCCAGCCACCAGGGCAAAGGGGGCCCCAGCAAGGCACTAGGGGCAACGAATGCCTGCAAGGGGTTGCCCTGTGTAGGGAGGGGCACAGTAAGGGCAGCTCCAAGCTGCCAGCTTGCCCTGTTTTATCTGGACAGCTGCTTTCTAAGGCGACTCAGTGGCAGGATGACTCTGGGTGGCAAGCAGCCTTAAAATGAAAACACCACAAATGGAAAACGGTGGTCGTCCCCAAAAGAGCAGAACAAGCACCACCCTACAAGGGGCCCCTCGCCCCACTTCCCTGGGGGGGGGAAGCCTGGCTGTAAGGGCCCCTTTAAACAAGGTCACCCAAATTTCTGAGGGGGTGATGACCTCACACATCAGGGCCCTGGGAGTCCATCTCTCCCCCCTCTGCCAACACCAACTGGATCCGGCCGCAGAGGAAGGAGGGGGACCATTGTGACACAGCAAACCCCCCCCCATAATCCCCACAGGTAGCTCAGAAGCCTCCATTGATGACGGACGTGAAATCCCCCAGAGATCAAAAGTGCCCCAAGTTGCCCCACCCCACCTCAGTTCTGCCAAACACCGTCAATGCCCCCTCTGAATCCCCCCCCCGATCTGAAGCCCAAACGAGAAGGGCCACAAGGCAGGGATCCGTGTCACCCAGGGCTCCTTTCAAGGGTGGCCTGACACCTCGTGTCCTGGTTTGTAGGAATGGCCTCTGGGAGACAGGAGGGGAAGCCCACAGCCGGGCGGGACCCTCAGTGGGCTGAGAGATCGCTCAGGGAAGCCGAAGGGACCCTCCCAGAGGGGAAGGGAAAATACTTTCAGTCTTGCAAAATCCTATTAATTGCAGCGAAGACGGAGCCAGTGCTTGGAGTTCTGCTTCTTGTCTGGACCGCCCCAAAGGGCCAACACGCCCTCTCGACGGCTTCCCTAGAAAAGGGAGGTGGGGAATGGACCCAATTACCCAGGATCATTTGGGTCTAGCGACGGCTTCTCCGGGAGGCCATGCGACACGACAAATCAGGCAAAAATGTCCCCCCTTCAACAACGGAGCTACTGCTGCATGGAGCCACCCACAACGCACTCCTGAGCCGCCTCCACAAGTCAGGAGTGAGTGGGGGTCTATAAAGGTGGTCAGCTGACGGTCCAGAGGATGCTGCCCACTCCCTCAAAGCCACCTGGCCCAGATGACGGCTCCATCACCCCCCAGGTGCAAATTCAAGCAACTCCGCCTGCCAGGTGCCTGGCACATTCCCCCCACGGGCCCTGGTCCTGGCCCCGGAACCCCTCCCCACTCAGCAAAGACTGGTCACCTTGGAAAGGGCCACCGGGTGACCATCAGCCCACATAACAGCAGCAGAAAGAACCAACCTCGATCGCCCTTCATCCCTCCCAGGGACCTTCGCCCACTCAGTTCAAGGCGCTCTGGGCACCTGGACTTTCATCTCCCGGAGGGTTTCGGAAAACCAGAGGGCACTCTGGTCCAATGCCCAGGGAGAGGCTGCAGAGTAGGGGCGATTCCGGGCTCCCCCAGAGCCTCGGGGGCACCCCAAACTCTTTCTGCAGCCCATCTAGGCTCCCCTGGGGTGGCTCATTCCAAGAGGCCCCCCGAGGGGGGAGGGGGGGCAACACCAGCCAGTCCAGGAGCCACCAGAGGGCGACCAGTCCTGGCACCGACAGCGATGCCCTCTGCTCCCCGATGGCCTTGCAACTGCCCTGAGACAAACAGGTGTGGCGTGTGACACCTGGCATGTGCCGGGCCCCGGGTGACTTGGGGCAGGCCCACGGTTGCCATGGTGGCCCTGCGAACGTGAGTGGCTGCTGCTCCCAACGCTTTGCCACCCTTGTTTACGTGCCAAGGCAGGTGGCCTCTCGCTGCCAGGGAGGCCCTGGCAGAAGCAAACGGAGCAAGCGCCAACCTGCCTCCCGAGAGGGCAGCGGCCAGGAGGGACTGGCCTCGGCGGGTGAAGGCAGGCGGGCGGCTTCTGTGCCCAGGATCCCCCGTCCCAGGGATCAGCTGAGGGGGAGGGGCGGCTGCTGTAGCTCTCAGGGCTGGGATGGGGGAGCACAAATGTCCTTTAAGCCCCCCTTTCCCGGTGCATAGAGCCCCGTGCTCGGACACCTGACCTGAGGTGCTTTTCAGCTGTGTGACGCCCCTTCCCCCCACAGCCCAGGAGGGTGGGGGGGCTTGCAGCCTGAAAACCAAGCAGGCTGAAGGTCATCCGAGTGAACAGGCCCCTCCACCATCCCCCTCATCCCCCAAGGCTCCTTTTGCCCCTCCTTTGGGAGACAAGGGCCGGCTGTCACTCAAAAACTTAGAAGGGGGGCTGGCGCCTGGCATCTCTCTCTTCCGTGCCTCTCCTACTCCCATCCTTCAAGGAACAGTGGGGCAGGGACCCACCAGCCCCTGGGGAGCTTCAGCCTTTGTCTTGTGTGGAGGGCCTTCTTTCCTGCCCTGTCCCCCCCCCCCCAATATGGGACCACAGCATCCAGCACCCTGGAGGGGATTCCCGCTCGGCTACTTTCTCTGCCAGATTTGCACCCCTGGCTCCCTTCCCAGCCTTGAATGTACCACCTGCGACTTCCTCTCCCCCCACCCCTCCCTCTTGGCCCCTCCAGCCTCAGAAGAGCCCTTCGCAGCCCTGAGAGCCTCCTTCACGGCCCGCAGGTCTCTGGGGGAAGAGCTGCAGCCGGGCTGGCAAAGAAGGTCCCAGCGCCCCACCGTTCACGGGCAGCCAGGGGTGTGTGTGTGTTTTGGGTGTGTTTTGTGTGTGTGTGTGTCGGATGGTCTATATCAGGGGTAGGCAACCTTGGCTCTTTTATGACTCGTGGACTTCAACTCCCAGAATTCCTGAGCCAGCCATGGCTGGCTCAGGAATTCTGGGAGTTGAAGTCCACGAGTCATAAAAGAGCCAAGGTTGCCTACCCCTGGTCTATATCATTCTGAACCCCTCCCCCACTGGTGGCTGGGCGGGGGGGCCGTCTTGGTAGACGTGCCAGAGGCTTCGCCCTGGTGCAGCCAAGCCCCCCCCCCAGTCTCTGACCAAACCCGGAGGCTGGACCGGGCTTTGGCGGTGCGGGGGCGCGCGCGCTCCTCCTGCCCGAATCCCTGTGCCGCAGGCAGCTTCGGTCCCGGCCGCTGCTCGGCTCCAGCTCGGGGAAAGGCCAGCGCGGAGGGGGAGGCGGGGGCTGCGGGGCTGGAGAGACCGGCGAGGCGCTGCTCGTTAGAAGCCGGACGGCTGCCGGGGGCGGCTCGGGCCCCCTGGCCGGTCTCCAAAGGCGCCGCTGCCTTCGAAGCGCCCCGCGGGAGCTCCTTCCATCCCTCCCGGGGCGGCTGCGGGGGGGGGGGGCGAGCAGGGCCGCCTGGACGGGAGGGGGGGCGGGGCGGGGCGGGGGAGGCGGCCGGCCCACCCCGGACGGCTGCTGATAGCCTTGATCCCCGCCGCAGCGTCGGCAGCTTCCTTCTGGCCTGGTTTTCTGGGGAGCAGAGCAGTTGCCGCTGACCGGCCGGTGCGTGAGCCACCAGCCTCAGTGGCAGTCTACCTCTCTGCCAGGGAGGACCTGATGCTGCCCTCATTCCCTGCAGGGGCAGCCAAAGGCATCTGGGTGGCCAGAGGGAGCCAAAGCTTCTGGGCCGGA